AGCAGCAAATGTCATCAAACTGACATCCTGTACTGATACAGTAAGAAAAGTCACCCAGAAGGAGAAAATGATGTTTCTATGTTTAGAGCTTCTGCTTCATGAGTTCACTTTCGGTGAAATTTACAGCTACATTTCACAAGATTAATAACGACGTCAGCCCTCGGGGCATCACAGTGTTAGACTGCAACAAAGGAGAACATCCTGTCTCATTATGATTTATCTATTTGTTTGAATTAGATTCGGCTGATCAATTCTTTTAGCAGTGGACTCATCCATAGTGTTTTCCTGCAGCGTGGAAAAAGCCATAAAGCATATGGCTAAATGAACTGCGCTGACATTTTGTGGAAAGTTAAGAGCCAGAAAACACTTTAGTTTGATTCGCTTTTCAATTTGAATCGATTCTTCATTTCAAATGGGGCCACAAATTTTCACTGTGACTCCAGTTCAGTTCCTGTCCTTTGCCCACTGCGAACAACTATGTTCTGATGTGGGTCATTTTCTCACTGCCTAAAAAACAAGCAGACAGAGGAATGTGGCAATTAAAATAACTTGAGAGCACAGTTTTCTTTTTCTTTCTGTATAAACATATTTCCACAACCCTATTTATTTACGAGGTTGAGAAAGTAGATGGGTGGAAGGATATTTTGATATTCAATTTGATTTAATAGGTTGACATAGATGCAACAAAAGACTTGATAAGATGTGTAATGCTTAAAAAACACCTGGTCAAACAAATTAGCATCCTAGAGAGGCTGCGTCCTCCAGAAGTGAAAATGGGGAGAGGATCGCCAATCTGCCAAACACTGTGGGCAAACTGGATGCTGTGAATTTTGGGGTTTCATCATCTACAATTCAACAATAGATCAATAAAAGATTCAAAAATCATTAATGAGTGTTTTTAAACTCGAGGTACTCAGGGAGCTATGCATTAGAAACAGATTGCGATTCTGCAGTGGCAATTTAACGCACTAAAAAACCACACTGCTTAACACCGCCATCAACACTGTCCTGGAAATCTGAGACATTCCCAGTGCTTGATAGATCCATCCATCCATCTGAGTCAGAAATTACCCAGAAATTATAATATTAAAACTAAGTAGCTGCTGCATTGTTGAAAAATGGAATTGGCTGGGCTGCGCTATGAATTCTGGGATAGGTGACGAGCCAGGCAACGAAAGCTGTCCCAATGTCCCAAAACTTAGTTTTAATATTACTCTTTCTGGGTCACAAAATAAACTTTTATCAAGACATCACATATTTGCAAAAGTGCTCCGACGTTTTCGGAGACGTCTGTTACTCACCAGTTCGAAGTTTTGCGAGATCTTGCAAAAGTTCAACTTCAACTTTTTTCCCCATGTCCCTTGCAGGGCTCCATAGAATCATAATAGAGGTTATCTGTCCTACAGATAAAGCTTGGCTTTAGCTATGCCATGCACAGTGGTGTTGTGTTTAGCACTGTAGCTTTACAAAACTCCCAAGTTTGAGTCCCCCGAGATTAAATGATATTTGTTTCAATAAGACGCAGTGGATGCAGTATCTAAATAATATACCTTGTATGTATTCAGAATCAGAATCAGAATCAGAATACTTTATTGATCCCTGGGGGAAATTATTTTTTGTTACAGTGCTCCATTTTAAACCAACATTAAGACAAGACAGACAATACGCTAACTAAGAATAGTACAATATATACATATATATACATACATACATACATAAGTCACTTATAAATACATATTTGGAAAAGAAACGTGTAGCTGTAGCAGCAAACAGTGTGTTAAGTGGATGCGTTGTACAGGGAGATGGCCACAGGCAGGAATGATTTCCTGTGTCGTTCAGTGGTGCTTTTCGGTAATCTCAGTCTCTCACTGAACGAGCTCCTGTGACTGACCAGCATGTCATGGAGTGGGTGGGAGGTGTTATCCAACATTGTCTTTATCTTGGACAGCATCCGCCTCTCCGACACCACCTTGAGGGAGTCCAGCTCCATCCCCACAACATTGCTGGCCTTACGGATCAGTTTATTAAGTCTGTTGGCATCTGCGACCCTCAGCCTGCTCCCCAGCATGCAACAGCATAGAGGATCGCACTGGCCACCACAGACTCATAGAAAATCCTCAGCATTTTCTGGCAGATGTTGAAGGACCTCAGTCGCCTCAAAAAATAGAGACGACTCTGGCCCTTCCTGTAAAGTGCTGTGGTGTTTTTAGCCCAGTCCAGTTTATTGTCAATGTGTACTCCAAGGTATTTATAGTCCTCCACAATGTCAACACTGACCCCCTGGATTGAAACAGGGTCAAGTGTTTCCTGGTCTTCCTGAAGTCCACGATCAGTTCCTTGGTCTTTGCCACGTTGAGCTGCAGATGATTCTGCTCACACCACGTGACAAAGGAGTCGACCACAGCCCGGTACTCTGTCTCATCATCCCTGCTGATGCATCCAACCACCGCAGAGTCATCAGAAAACTTCTGAAGATGGCAGGTCTCTGTGCAGTGGCTGAAGTCTGTGGTGTAGAGGGTGAAGAGGAAGGGGGAGAGGACAGTCCCCTGTGGTGCCCCTGTGTTGCTAATCACCTTGTCCAGTAATGGGTTTAAATGTAGCTCTTGTCTTTTGAAAGTTGGAGTGCCGCATGATGTTTTGCCAGCATTAATTATGAAAACTTTTGTGTTTTTTGAGTGCTTCTGTGGCAGACTTTGAACAGAGTCATCTGCTTCTACTTTTTCCCCCAACTCTGCGCCTCGCTTCTCGTAGTTAACTCTCCTCAGAGACAATTTAGGCAGCACAGCCACAATGAGAGGGAGAATTAGCAGCCAATTACAGCCAAATAGACTTGCTGTGGATGTGGAGCTCAAGAGTGTTTGGAATAAAGTTTAATTTTGTGTTTCGCTGCAAGATATCCTTTAAAAAATATCTTTGTGCAAGATTACTTAAAGTCACTTCTTCCTCACCTGCCTCTCATCGTAAATAATGCTTCCTTTCATTTGGCTTTAAAATAGATCTAAGAAAGTGTGTCAAATTCATGTTTTGTTGATGGGTATAACACAGCAGTGATTCAACAAACACGCATTTACCTTCCACACTCTAATGAAGGTTTTTCCACATTTCAGTCTAACCCGTAGGGTGACCCTTGCTCTCAGAGCATCGAAGATCAGCAGATGGTCTCTTGGCAACAACTGAACGAAGTCAAGGGAGCAAGCAAACAGGCTGGATTTGATTTACTCGGTGAAAGGACGAATGCTTCACTGTCAGCAAATCTTTACCAGAACTGCCTGTTTAAAATCTTTTCATATCATTTCATTGAGAATAATAATGGCAATTAATTATTGATTTGGGTTGTTTATACTCAAGGTGTAACTGACTTAGATTTAGGTGAAAAAAGAAGTCAATGAGGTGAAGACACAGTGACAGGAGGTTGAATGTCAAACTTGAATGGAAAAAGTCACATATTTTCTGTGCTTTTAAAAAGTCTATTTAATGCACAAGTGCAGAAAAGGAAAGTGTCATGGTCGGCTGTGTGGCAGGCAGGCTGGAGTGGTGGACCCAAAATGCAGGACTCTTTGGAGACAAGATTTAAACTGAAAACGCAGCCTTATTGCTGGACAAACGTCTACATAAAATAAGACTCACAAAAGCAAAACAAAACTCTAAACTGAGGTGCTGGAGGACTGGAAATCATGAACACACAGCAAGTTGAAGGTACAACGCAACAGGGAGCACAGGAAAACACAGGGCTTATATACACCGGGGAGTAATCAGGGAATGGGCAACAAGAGGGAGACACAGCTGGGAGAAATCAGGCTAACAAGACAGGGGAGAGGTAAAACTGAACGCACTGACATGAGACATGAACTTTCAAAGTAAAACAGGAAACCAGAAACCATCACACACAGACTCAACACTGAGAGGCAGACAGAAAATAACGCATGGAACCCAAACTATACATGAGGCAACAAATCCTTAAACACGAACAAACAGAAACCTAGAAATCCAATAACGATCAAAGCACAAGAGTATCAAAGGGCAGCCCATAGTGCAAAAATAAACCAAAACATCAGAAACTCAAAATGCTGGGTCGAACCGACCCAGAACCGTGACAGAAAGAAAGATAAGGGTCTACGGGTAAAATAACATGATTTTGAGGATTTGGTTTGAAAAGCCCCATGAAACACCTCTCATACAAGGTCAGTGTGTGTGTTGCTGGTTAACTACACATAACTAGTTTAAAAGTTTCTAAAGCGTCCTGACGATGCTGCAACAGAGTAATGATGCAGTGTTTGAGTCACCTCCGGGTCAGAAACGTCTAGCCTCCAGTTTTCAAAGTATTATAAAACTATTATCAAAGTCCTTTGGCAGGAAAACTCAGGTAGAAGCAGAAAAGAGGTTTCCAAAGAAACATTTAAAGTCTCAGACTCACTGTAGATATTGCAGTTCACTCTGAGGGGGTTATGAATACTTTGACAAAAGTGTTTGAGATGTTTCACTGAAGACATCAAGGTGAACGTCACTGGCGATGCTGAAGAAAAGAAAAATGTGTCCTACAGTAATCATGCATGCAGATTTTATAGTTTTTCGCTTAAATGGGGAAATCCTTGATTTCCCAGGGGCATACAAGGAGGTATCAAGGGACCCATCCCCTGGGCACCATGAATGTGTGTGCTGCCATGATAATCAATTTGGTAGTTATTGTATTTCATTTTGAACAGCTTCTAAGTGATGAACTATAGATTATGCACTCAAAATCTGCAGTCGTTAGAGCGGAAAGTAAATTTGAAGTTTAGTCTGAACCATAGACTCACTCACCTCTCTACAAAGGAAATGCTTTAATAATTCCTGTTTTGTTTACATATGAAGTTACAGCTTTCTGGAAAAATCCAGCATCTAGTGCAATAGTTTGTACAGATGGATAAAACTGCTTTGAATGTGTTGCGCGCTGAAATATTAACATGATCCACAAGCCAAATAATCAGATGTCTCCATCTTACTCTCGCTCCTCTCTGCAGGTCGTGGGATGAGTTCCATGACTGCGCTAACGTGGCGATGGCTGGCTGTCCCGAGGAAGCGGCAGCTGTCTGGGAGTCTCTCCGCCAGGAGTCTAAGAAAATGCAGTTCTCCGGAAACCTTTATGACATGTGCTCCAACCGTAACACCCACCCAGCGGCCTCGGTGTCCCCTAACGGCTCACCCAACCAAGAAGAGATCAACCAGGAGTCTCTAAGAGGGAGGGCCTATCACGTGGCAGGCTGCCTCCACTATCTCCTTCTACTGTCTCCTCTGCTGCTGCTGTTGTTGTTTTGGATATAAATACCCCCAAAGAAATGGGATTAGTGTGAATAGATATAAACTTTGTGTACTTTTTCTTCCACAATTCCATAGACTTTTCACTGCTTCTTCCTCTGCTCTGCCAGGGGTCGAATATTTCTAACTGCATGTTCAGAGGCTCGACAGTCTTTTTGATAATATATCTCTAAATTGCCTGTGCCGTTTCATGCATATTCTCTGCCTATTAATTAGATTCTCAGTTGAAAAAAAGCTCACAAAACTCACCGAGAGATACACAAGCCCTGCAAACACATACATAGTTGAGCAGATGCATACTGCAGCCTCGCATCATCCGTCTTCATCCTGTATCCTTCTAAATCTAGTTAGTACGAGCTTGCATGTGATGGTTTCAGGGTGAGTCTGTCTCCTTGAATGCAATAAGATAAGAGATTAATAAGAGAAATGTAATAACTAAGACTTGTTTGATAAACTTGAAAACAAAGCGATGAAAAGACTAGGTGCCACAACTAGTTACTGTTAACCCCACTTTTATGTGGGCTTTACATGATGAACAACACCCATTTCCTATTTACTAAATGCAGACACAGTGCTGGGTGTGAGTAGTTAAGATATAATGATGGTGATGATGATGTAGTTCTAATGTTCCGAAATTAGTTTTTCAGACTACAAAGTAATTGGAGTCATAAATTACACTTGCTGTAAATGGAGCTAACTTTGAAGCTAACTAATTTTGAATAATGTTCTTATTTAGAGAAAATGCATCACAGTGTCTTCTGTGGGTGCAGGAGCAACACGAGCTCTGAGCTGAAGTTCAATTGAAGTCAGAGTATGCCGGAGTGGTTTTTATTTGCTGCTTGCTCAGTTATGAAGTCCTCCTCCTTGGCATCCTGCATTGGAGCCCTACAGTATGGGACCAATATGTTCTCCAGTCAGAAACACAACCCACTTGCATGCCAAGTGGATTTCATGCTCCAGGAGTCATAGATTTGGCCCTGCAGGCCTGCTTGAGCTGCTTGTTATTCTAAGTGGTTGCAGGTAACAGTTGTTTCTGTCTGGCCCAGGATCAGATATATTATGAGATTAGAGACAGATAGAGAGTGAGAGAGATGAGTACAGCTGGAAAACATACAGTTCTGCCTAGTTGAAGATTGAATCCACTTGTCTCGCAGCGAGTGTGTTTTACACAGGGGGCTTTAGGTTGCAAGTTTACTTTTCCTTCTCTACAAAAAATAAAATAAAATAAAAGCCAGGTCAACTTTAAAGAGTTACGCTAAGATGTGTGGATGCACAACACATAATCCTCAAGGGACCACAACAGTGCACCAACTTTAAGAGAGGTGGAAATAAATGAAATTTATTAGACAAAAAAGATCCAAAGAGAGCTGCGTAATAGCTGATTGAGTCTGTCTACCTTGCCAGTGGCAAGTTCGTTAAATGTACCTTACAGAGTTGAATAGAAGCCGAGAGGCATTTCAAACAGATTTATGGATGGGTGACAAATGAAAGAAAAATGCAACATAAAGTGCGTCTTGATTTTCCAAGTCTCTGGCACTCTGCTTGAGGGATGAAACATCATTCTCCCAAAGATATTCCCTTTATTTGGTGTTTTGATGATGGCAGTGAGGAGTGCTGTGTAACAAAGTAGCCCGAAATCTCCTGGAGGTTCAACGGGGTTGACATTGAATGAGAAGGTCATAGCAAATGAATCACACTTTTCCTTTCCCATGTCCATTCAGCGACCCCTTGTTTACTATAAATGGCTGAATTATCATTCTGGAACAGTTCATACACTGTATATAAAAGATAGACATAGCCACCATGGGTCTGTGAAGTCTTACCATGAAGCCTAGAGCTGAATATTGTTCTGGTTGCTTTTTATGTTTTGAAATCAGACTGAGACTGAAAAATTCAAGAGACACGGCACATATATGTTGTAGCAACATTGCACAAGGGTCCTTGTGGACGTCCATGTGCATGCCTGTGTTTTTGACCATGTGGACTGATGCACAGAGAATTTACATTGCAATGCACCAACCTAACCAGCTCCCCAAGCAACAGACTTCAAGCAGATTTCAAAGATGTATAATAACAAATATAGAAGTATATAAGAAGTAAAAATAAGTATGTCTCCATCTGCATTCACAACAGTGAAGCCAAAGAAAACCAAGGAAAACAAAATACATTTTTCTTATAGATTCACCTATAAATCGAGTTCTTTTTGCAAATAGCAGATTCACCCCCTACTGGCCAACAGATGGAGGAACATGCAGGAGGAATCAGTGGTACTGAACAGGCCAATCACAATAACGTGGGCGTGTCGAGGACACAGATAGTTACATTTCGAGAGATGTGCATGCCAGGTTGCATTGTAGAGTTTCAGAGAGGTTTGCGGTTCTGGTGTAGTTGCCACGGTAACAGTGCAAAATGCAAATGTAACAGAAGAGATGAGGGTCACATATGTAAAAGTGTATTTTCAGTTCTTGTACCACAGTCTTAGGGAGCAGAGGGGGTGTTGTGCTTTTTACTGCCCGTGGTAAGGAACAGTCTTTTAATCTGTTGGTTCGCCACGCTGGCTTCCTTTGCAGACCTCAAGTATGTCCATCTTTTATATACAGTCTATTGAAAGACCTTTTCCAACAGGATAGTAATGTTTCAGCTTAGACTAAATTACTAAAACAACCTTTATATATTTTTACATATATACTTTTTTATATAACTGGACTAAACCCGTGTAGTAAAATGCTCCGACAGCATAATAGGATGTGCTCACAGTAGTAGTAAAAGGTTCAGGTTTTTCCTATCTCCGTTCTCGGCTATTTATTTATGCAGTAATTTAGTTTGGGACATCAATGTCAAAAGCAAACTTTGCCCTACAAGCTCAAAAGCTCAGTACAACTGAAACTCCAACAAATATTACATTTTTAATCATTTTTTAAATGTTAAGAATAAACAGCAGCAGGAACCCACTGACAGAAACAGTGAGACAAATTTACACTAAAAGAGAAAAACTCCAACCATCCCACAGCTCCTTTTTTACGTGAAGGACTTCATCCACAGATATGCATGAATTTTTTAAAGAGGCTGCTCCAGTTTTGAACTTTAATTAAACTGACAGAATTAGCAATTAAGAGGCCTCAATGGCTGACTCACTAAGGTGCAGCAATTTGAGAACTATCTTCATGGAGCTCTGATAAGATGATGCAACTGGAGATTAAATTTAAGTAAATCCTAAATGTGAGGACACACAGGAAGATCACACAAGACGTGTTTGTATAAAATCCTACAGCACAGTGAGTGCTGTCAACATGTCCCAGGGTGGTTTATGGAAATGTAACAGGTTTAGACCTGCCTTTAAAGACTCTTACATACAGAGGTACTCCAAAACACAAAGAAACCTTCTCAACTCTGTTATGAGAAGTTCTGTTGCATGAACAAATCCGATTTCAGCGATTTTTCAATAACTCTGCAGTGTAAATGCAACATTATTGACCAAAGCTGAGCAGGGAATTATTTCCCAGCACTGCATTTGAGACTATACATCTCTTTGCCTCCGGCAACAGCTTGGTGTTCTGACAAATAGCTTAAATTGGACTGAAAGGGTGGCAGGAGATGGAGAAGCAATCTTAAACACCAGTACATCACTGTCCCATCAATGGTACACTATATTTGGCTTTATTACTCTGAGCAAATGGCAGTGAAAACAACAAACATGTTGCCATTTATTCATTTCCTCTGCAGCACATTTTGATTGCTACAGAAGAGAATAAATATGGTTAGGGGCTGGGGTTTCCATTTCCTTTTAAATGCTTTATTAAAGAACCAGACTCCTCTGATACGATCCGTTTTCAATCAGCACAACTTTGCTCCGCTCTTTGTCTTTATGACCTGCAGGATCACAGTCCCACTTCTTTCACTAATTATTAATTGTTAACAGAGACACAGAAAGCCAAAAGTTTCACGCTGATCCATCATCAACTCGCTCACACTACAAATTAAAAAATTAAAATTAAAAAAGTTTTGTTAGCCTATTTAGCGATGCATGGTTATGAATGCGGAGCTGTTTCTTTGAATCATACAAACTCTGCATTTCTAAAGAGATGATAGAGAAAGTGAAATTTGTGCATCTTTTAATAACAGCTGATTCAGTTTTGGGCTTTTTAGGGAACCAGGAATCTTTGCTCACCAGGTGACAGACACTCTTACTGTCTTTGTTTATCATCCTGGCAATGTTTGTTTTTATTTATAATTCATAAATTCTTTACTACTGTTGAAGAAAGCAGGGTTCACCAACACGTATTTGCTCTACCTTCCTAATTAATCATATTATAAATGTGATATGTGAACACAATGATTTTTGTGTTTCAGAGACAAAGATGTAGATATCAAACGGAGACAAAGCACACACACACACGCACACGCACACACATATATACATATATATATATATATATATACAGAGAAGAATGATTGTTTTCCTGATCTTGTTACTCGCTCCTCAAAAAGGAAGCACTTAAGTTTTTAAATACAGCAGTCAAACCAACAGAGAGTAGGGGTGATATCACTCACGGGGGCTCGTTCAGCTGCAATAAAAGTTAATCAGTTTCTAGTCTATTTTTCCATCAGCAAACTCACCTGGGTTTTTCCGATATCAATACACATTTTTAGTGGGAAAAAAAAATCCATTTAGTAAAAAGAATTACACACAGGGTTACCGAAGGACCTCCAACACACAGTTCTCCAAACTCGTTTATTGTTATCAAGCTTTAACTGAAGCACAGATGTGATCTAATTCGGATGCTCATTTTTCTGACTTTAATGGAGATCTCCTTTAGGGATATGCTGACTAACTCATCCTGTATATTCATAGACTGATTTGTATGTGAGGGTTATAGATAGCTTTCCTTTTTGTGTTCATTCTGGAGGGATCGTAGCAAAAATCGAGCACATAAAATTCCTTTTTACTGGCTGTAAGAGCATTTTTTCACTACATGAGAGCTGAGCATTTTCCCCAGCCAGCCTTTTCTATAATTCTGTGGAGGTGAAACACCAGCTCTGCCTCTCTGTAGTGAATGTTTCCCTCACCTTCAGTTTGTCTCCTGAACTCCTGTTGTCTTTCTGCCTCTGCCAACTCCTCTCTGTCATTTCATTTGGCTCCTCGTCTGTGATTCGGGTAAATATGGCAGACCCTCAAATAAGTTAAATTGTAACTTTACGTTTCCAGAAAGCTTGCACTATAAAATGGACATTCCAGACTGGATATTGGTGTTTACTTCATCCAGACTTAAACAATTGAAATTATGTAATTTATGAACAATGAGGAAATGTGTTGGGGTTTCTTGCCCTGACTGTTTTGTGCACCTCACAGTCCTAGTCTGACCCATAAAGCTACAAAACTGACGTTTACGGTTAATACGTCAGCTTGAAAACCACATTTACATTATGTATTACAGTATGAACAAACAAGAGTTAGGCTGGAAGTAACATACAGGAAATATTGATATGAGATTTACTGGATCAGACTTGTGAAAGCACAGACAGACAGCTATCACCTGGATAGCACACACATCTACTCGCATTTAGCTAGTGACTGCGAGCTCAGCTGTTGTTTCAGGCTCATAGCTCAAACCTGAGGCCTCCAGTTATAATTACTGATAAGAGGGGAAAAAAGAAATTACTAGATACTAAAAAGTTTGGGAAGCACAAGATAAGTATGGCAGTGACCTATGTACGTCATTAAAGATGCATTTTGTGAAGAGAAAGGCAATGAAAGAAAATAATTCTGCTTTTCCCCTTCCATTTATGGCTAATATAAAAAGGAGTGAGAGAGTATTTAAATGAATCTTAATGCCTCCTCCCCTTATTAAACACCGCTCATAAATTCAAACTACTATTTCGAAAGTCAAGTCACAGTTTTATGACAAGAAACGCACAGACTGACAATGAGTAAAGTCACATCACTCTGTATAGTGTGAATACTTAAATCTCTGTTATTATCAGTGTATATAACAGTTTCATATATATATATATATATCTCAAATGTCATATATGCCTTGCAATTGCTACTTTTAAAGCTTTAACATTTTCTATTGTAGTGTTTCATCCACTTTATTCCTCTCCCCAGGACACATTTATCTGCTCTATAACAGCTGCTACCACTGATCGTATAACATATTGAGCTTTTTAGAAAAAAATTATATTTATTTAAAAAATATGCATTAGAAAAAAAAATCAGTTCATAACTACTAGATATATGTCCTTAATGAGAAAAATTGACACTTGATTGCAAAACAAAACTCTGGAAGGTGTCATGAGCAGCTCTTGTAATATTTGTTTTATGATAAAACAATAAAATAAAATGAATTTGATTAAATGACCAAGCTAATAATCAGTTGATTAATCAGCATTTTTAAAAATGTGCTTTGGGTGTCTTATAAGCTACATGACATCGAGTGGTGGTGAGAACAGCTCTCTTCATTAGACCGTTTGTTCTATATAAGCAGGGCGTTACTGCTGAGCTGTCAGTCACCTTCACATTAAATGAACTTACAGCCAAATACATAATTGCTATAAATGATAGAGGAAAATTGACTCGGAGCGTAACAATTTTAAAGCCATAAAGTGCACGTGTAATTCAAACTGTTACATCTTCTATCTTTGCAGCTAGATTGTTAATTGTAACTGCATCTTTCCCTCTTTTTCTCATTTTGATCCACGTTTCAGACTAAATTGCCGTTTTCTCTCCTGAAAACTGTGCTTTTGGGCCTCACTTTGATCTTGTCACACTTTAGCCCTTGGACTGTTGAATTTGTTTACACAAGGGCCTTAAACCACAATCTCCTGCTTGGCAATCTTGTTTTTAATATCTGTTTTCAGACAGGCAAAAAATAAAAAATAAAAATGCTAAAATGCTTCTTGTGTATAAAGTAAATCCAACCACCATGCTTTGATTTCTCAGATGGGCCCATAAACGAAGCGCTGAATGAATTCAGCTTCCTATAATCTACTCATGTAAAACACACTCTGTGTTATTTGAAATAACTAGTCTAACAATATGAAATCCTGTCACATGCTGGATTTTGCCAGAAAAAAACACAACACAAGCTTTATATGTGCATTTATTGTTGTGTGTGTACACAAACAGTGATTGTTTTCTGTGTTTAAGGTTGTAAGTGTGTGTCTGTGTGTGAGATGGAAAGTGTGGTATAAATCAGCTGTTAAATGAGTGATTTATCAACACAACATGATGTAAATTTCATTGTTACTGATTAAACTGCTCTTCTTCGACACTTTCCAAACAAGATGGCATCCCCTAACCACGTTTGTTTGTTGAATTAGCATGCAGAGCTTTTTGCCATTTTGTGCGCAAATAACAGAGGACTAGAACCACGTGTATGTACGTACATTATCATATGAAATATTCATTACATTCCTATGTGAAGATTAGGTCATTTCAAGAAGCTACTATTCGGGAGATCTGAACATCATCACATCATGGATGAAGGAATTACTCCACGGATGAAAGCGGGAATCTTCATGACAGCAGCTCTGTGCACATACTGATCACATAAGTGTATTTTATTGTGGACAGTGACAAAGAATGCGCAGTATTGTACATCAATAAATACAGCCATAAGTCTTTTGAAATGATGGAGACGCAGCATTTTCTGCTTCTAAAAAGAACTTTGTGAGATATTTCTGTATTTGTCCTTGGCTGTCTTTGATTATGTCTGCTTTCTCTCCTTTTTTCTTAAACCTTTATATCATATCACTCTGCTTATCTTACTTTTTTCCCTGCCCTATTAGAAAATCCATCTTCATGTCGGAGGTTTTGCTACCTTTATAGAAAATCATTAAACTGGTGCTGATCTGACAATCTGCTTGTCCTCATATTACTCAACAAATGTTTCGTGGTATGAAAAAAACATCTTATTTTATCAGCATCATTTAAGATCTTAGGAAAGGTTGGAGAATAAAGTTGTCAACCAGGAAAGGGTGCATGCTAACTGAAGCTGCTGGACTGCTTTGAGGCTGAGTCTTATGAACTGAGTACATCACTGAGTCCTTGCATCAGACTTCCATCCCTCCAATTTCTATAGTTTATCTGGTTTTGGGTCTTGAGATCAAAAGTTTAAGTTGAGATGCCAGGACCTTCCTCTCCTTGACCATCTCATCTAATTTCTCGGGAGGAGACACTGAGGCATTCCCAGCCAGTCAAGAGATGCTACTCTTAATAAGAATAATAATGGATACTTTATTGATCCCCATGGGGAAATTACTTGTTTTTCTCTGCATTTGACCCATTCACTCAGTGAAGCAGTGGGCAGCCCACTAAGCAGGCGCCCGGGGAGCAGCGTGTAGGGACGGTACCTTGCTCAGGGGTACCTCAGGGTAGCCGTTAAGTGGATTCGAACCGCCGACCTTCCGATCATGGGGCAACCACTTTACCTACTGAGCTATCCCTGCCTACTCTTCAGGGTGTTTTGGGTCTGATTGGGTTCTACTCGTGGCAGGACATCCCCTAAACACCTCACCACCACCTCCTAGGCCAAACATGGAAGCTCATCAACTAAAAAAGTAAGTTCATACCAGACATAAGTTGCAAAAGCTAGAACAGCTTACTCTTTTATACCTGTTGCTTCATCACTCACCTTTTTTTCACTTTAGATGTGTTTACACCACAGAATTAACCATTAGTTATTATTAATAATTGCTGCTTCTCTTCCTCCCCTCACCCTTCTGGCTTACTGGCCGCCCCTCCCTGAGCCTGGTTCTGCTGGTTCATCCTGTTAAAAGGAAGATTTTCCTTCCCCCTGTCACCAAAGCACTTGCTCATAGAGGGACATCCGACTGTTGGGGTTTTCTTTGTCTTCTCTTTTTTGTATTGTATTTTTATTTATTTTTGACAATATAAAGTGCCTAGCAGGAACTGTTGTGATTATGTATATAAATAAAACTGGCATTGAAAACTGAAAAACTGTGGCACAATAATCAGTCAAGGCCTCAAATCTAGCTCAATGTTTTGTCTGGAGATGAATGAGGACATGCACTTTGTACTTTGGTACAAAGGAGGATTTTCGTTTCATTACCGCAAGTAACGTTTGCAGATGACAGTGCCTGGAAGGTTGGAGGTATGCACTAGGGAAAAGAGCAAAGAAAGTTAGCAGAGGCAAGACAGAATAGATGTGTGTGAGGACGAGGGAGATGAGTTTAACAGAGAAGCTGTAAGGAGAAGAGATACTGAAGTTTAAATACCTGGAAGAAGAGAGTGCGAGCAGAGAGGAGTAGATGAATGTCAGCTGTGATTTGTGACAGAAGAATAGCAGCAAGAGTGAAAGGGAAGGTTTGCAAAATACTAGTGAGACCAAATGATGTAGAAGAAATGGTGGCACCAGAGCTGGAGGTGGCAGAGTTCAAGATTTTAAGATTTTCACTGGGAGTGACCATGAAGGACATGATTAAATGAGAGGCACAGCTCAGGTTGAGCTACTTGGAGCCAAGGTTAGAGAGGCAAGCCTGAGAAGGTTTTCACATGTGCAGAGGAGGAACAGTGAATATATTGGACAAAAGATGTTGGGAAGATGGAGCCGCCAGGCAGGAGGAAAAGAGGAAGACCTCAGAGAAGAATAATTTATGTAGTGTAGGAGAACGGGCAGAGGGCTGGTGTGACAGAAAAGGATGCCTGGGACACGGGGAGATGGCAACAGATGAGGAAGAACTGACTGCATCTGAATAAACACAATACTATTTAAATCCCTTCTTAAAAGAATTATGCTCCTTCGCATCATCATCTTTTTATGCTGTGAATAAATTAGGACAACAATATGACAACATGAAAGAGAAACATTCTGATTAATTGCACTGAATCTGCTTTGTGCTTTATGTAATAAACAACCTCACACACATTATGTTAAAGTAAAAAAAAAACCCCTACATAAAATAAATACTTTGACATTTTGGGACATATCTTTATTTTCTCTGAGACAGCTAAAAAAAGAAAGACAATCGAAATAATTCATTTGTTGAGGAATTCTAAGGTGTCATGGTTGTGGAACTATTGCAATGCAAATAATAACGCAGATCACGCACAGGTTATTAGCTCTTATTTTTTGCTTTTCTCTGACATTTTGTAACTCTAGATCAAAGCACTGCCAGGATACTCAGCAAGTTTGCCGCTCCAAATGTCTGCAAGTGATAAGAGTATGAACATTTTGAACTTCGATACCCAGAAGTCCTTTAAGGTGACATCAATAAGAAGCACAGCGCCATCCCATGATGCAATGCAAAGTAATGAAGTTGAAAAAGCTGTCACATTGCTGAGGGCAGCTTTTTCTGGACAAAGTGCTGCTCTCTGCTGTATGGCAGTCAGATTGAAGTTCACTTTTAAATGTTGATGCTTCATTTCCTGCCACCAGAGCAGCCAGCGCATTCAACAGCAGAGTTTTATTTGGGGTGGCTCTGCTGCAGTTGGCGGGGATTTGATAGACATTTTGGTTACAGCCACAATTCATCATTTATTCTCCTAAACAATGTCACTTATGTGATGTCAGCCACTTCTGGCTGAATAGAATAGAATAGAATAGAATAGAATAGCCTTTATTGTCATTGTACAGAGTACAACGAAATTGGAGTGCCACTCCCTTGGTGCAAGATAAATAATAAATATAAATGTAAAATATAAAAAGTACAATAAAAATGTGTTTAAAGTTAGGTAAAACAAGCCAATTCAAATCTTGTGCTTGACAAGAGTTAGAATAGCTGCAGTTGAAAAAGAATGTGCTCCGATACTTTTTGTGACAGCAGAGCACCGAAGCTCAAATATGGTGTTCCATTTTCTTGAAAATAACTTCTAAGTTCGCCAGATTCCAGGAAGACTATTTTTGCACACGCTGGCCATTATGTGAAATATGATTCAGGACATTTGCACACTGACTCCAGTCCACAAGTTCATGTAAAACCACCACATGGACAGTTTTATCCTCTGGGCCTCCTAAAATATTTGTGAATGTAGTGAGAAATGAATGTTGTCCTGCACTTGGCAAGTTGCCTTCTGACCTCATGTTAGGGTTTACATAAAATGAGCCAAAGATCAACATCATGATGTACCACGGATATTTGATTTTATAGAAAGTGTTGTTTGAATACGCCTTTTTGTTCCATATATTAACTGAACTTTGATCATCCCTGCCTGCTTGTCAATTAAAACAAGGAAAGACAAATGTTTCACATTGTGCAGCAGCGAGATTCATGCTCTGTGCACGATTTCAAACAATAGCACAATAAGTGCCAGGTACAATATACATGAATGTATTGCTTAGGGCTAATTATTGGACTCTGCAGACCTTTTCAAGAGCCAAAAAGCAGGAAAAAGTACATTCTTGCAGTTTCTTCTCGAATTTAAGATGCCGTATCAGGAGACTGATATTGCACTTTGGACATTAAAGCTTCCTGAAATCTTCATTTTACCTTTTTCTGATAACCTGTACTTGATCAGTGGTTAACCTAACATCTAGAGACAGGTGCTAGGTTAACCAGTGATTCTAAGTGGGCTGCAAATTTAGATGTACAGATAAAGGGCTGAGTAAGATACAAAAGCACAAGATAAATGTCAAGTTTATACATTTTTTAATTTTTGCATCAGTGTTATACAACAGCAGTATGTTATAAGCAAAGGTTAAAGCCCTTGACTTAGTATGACTTAGTAAATCTGGTAGTCAGTTTAATACAAAATACTGTCTGACACTCCTGCCAGCTGATGACACTGAGACAGTTAAACCTGCACAATCCCTTTTTGTCTGTCTTATCCTTGCCATGTGTTCTTGCAGATGGCATGCAACTACCTCTACATAAGAGGAAAACGCATTAACCCCTCTTCTTGTGGTGTGTGTGTGTGTGTGTGTGTGTGTGTGTGTGTGTGTGTGTGTGTGTGTGTGTGTGTGTGTGTAAGAGAGTGAGAGTGTTGACTGTGTGTTTCTTTGTCACAAGTTTTACTTGAAAATGAGAGTGGGAAGCAGCAATAAGATCTGCCAGGAGCCACAGGCAGTCAGAGATGGATCCAGGAAGACTGGGCCATCTGCAGACCCCAAGAGTACTGAAGACCTAAGGCCACACATCTCAGCGATATCTGTGTGCCCATTCCAGCAGGAGAAGGAGAGAGGTCCTAGATGAGGTGCCTACAGCTAACGGATGGGAGTCCCAGAGGATTAGGAACCCCGCTACAGGACGACCACCCTGTTGTGAGCTGAGATCAGGATCCCAGGGCTTCAGGCGCCCAAGAACAGCCCAGTACCCCACAGTGGGAGGGTAAACTCCTCCCTTCATGACCATGTTCCACAGAAGCCAAGACTCAGCAAGCCACAGACCCAGCCCCAGCCTCGCACGCACACACATACCCACCTACTCACACAGCCACCAATGACACACAGACACTTAAAGACACACATCCACATGAACTGGGACGCAGCCAGAGTGCCCCACAAACCACCCGCAGACCTCTGTGTGAGTGTAAAAAAGTGTTTATGATAAGTTAAATGATAATTTTATGTTATTTAAAGATTATGCAGGAGATTAAGTGCAGGTCAATGTGGGTTGTTAGTAGTATTATTGTTCAGATTAAAGTAGTGTATTGTTTTGGTCTGGTGCAGGGCAGACTTAGGTTCAGAAACATTAGAGGGGAAGACGACACTGAAAGAATTCTCAAGTAAAATTTATGAGAAAACTTTGAAACAGGAAGAATGGGAATAGGAGTGTAACTTTCAAGAGAAAAAAACGTGTAAAACTTCATTTTTGGGCAAAGTCTACAAACTTTGAAGTGATTTTTA